TCGGGCTTGGGCTTTTCCAAATAAGCCTGACCCGAGCCTTAACCCGACCCAATAATATTATATATAATAGAAATATAATATATATGCTAATAATATATTATATAATAGTAAAATTAATAGCAAAAAAATATTGTATATATATTAAATATATAGAATAATCAAGGTTTTAAAAACCATCCTAGAAACGGAACCATTTTGGCCATCGGTTTTTTGGTTAGTGGTTCAACCGTCTGGGTCGAACGGTTTAGGCGGTTTAGTTGAAAAGTTATTAAGTGTAATTGAAAAGTTATTAAGTATAGCTGAAAAGTTATTAAGAGAAAGAGGCATACTCAATTGAGAAAGAAAGAAAGAAATAAATAAATAAAAGAGAGAAAATAGGGAGGAGAGAAAGGAAAAAAAAAGGAAAGGAAGGAGAGAAAGGAAAGAAAGAAAGGAAGAAGGAGGAAGGAAAATGAGGAGGAGGATCATCCGACATTCATCGGCGACGGCAATGACAACAGCAAAGCAACATCTGAGCACTGAATCTCTCTGATCTCATATATGAGATATGAGAACTAAGATCTTAGATCTATGATCTGAGAACTGAAATCTCCAATTTGTGAGATCTGATTTCTCTGCAATCTCAATATCTCTCTTTCGCTGGAACTATCTCAGATCTGAAATCATTATTGTCTCAAAGGTCATTCTTCATTATTGTCTCAGGCGATCGTATTTGAATCCCCTCTGCCTCCTAGTTAAACCACGAACCACTGTCCAAGTTGAACGGGTTGACAGTTTGATTACCCGGGTCAACAGTTCTTTGACCAAATCAATGGTTTTTGGCCCAAGAACGGGTTAAGGGTGAAACAAAACTGGTTGCCTGGATGATATCCGGGCTGAATGGTCCGATTGTTTGGGTCAACGACAATTCGAAAACATTGAGAATAATATATAATATATAATATATAATATATAATGTATTATTAATAATATATTATAAAATACCTTTCAAGGGCTTTGGGCTTTATATACGGCTAGGCTCGAGCTTGGGTCTGGTGATTTTCGGTTTATAAAGAGGTAAAGCCCAACCCGTGAACATGTCTACTAACATCTTTCAACTGCTAATCATTTATTATAATTGATTTACATTTCCATTTATAGTTGTTTATCTTTTTTGTTCATTTATTATTTACTTTCTACAATTAGATTTGTCCCTGAGATACTGGTAGCTGTCTAATAACTGTTTGAATCTCAAGTTAATATTACTTGAATCACTGGTTCTTCTCACAACTACCTTATTGTAGTTGGTCCATTTCTCAACTACCTTCTAGTGGTTGTTCCCTCTCTATCTAGCTATTAATCTTGGCACACACCATGAGTGCAACTGCCATTTATTTTTACTATCAATTTACTTTCAATGGCCTTTTACATTTTATAGTTATTTATTTTTAGTGTTTATTATTTATTGGGCAGCAAAATTCTTAAAAAACCCTTATGGTTTAGCTAATTGACTAACTCACCCTTACTATTTATACATTATCTCAAAGTACCCCCACTGTCCCAGGATCATAAACCAAAATGTTCTTTTCTCCTCCCTTCTTGTTGATACCATAGGCACACGGCTATGGGCTCATTGATTATCACATTGAGTCCGGCAATCACACCGGCGTCTTTGGTGGCCTACCTCTGTGCATCAATGAAATAAGCTGCAAAAAGAGGAAAACATGGGACAATACTCGTTAAAACATAGAATCGATGGGAATTAAGAATCACAACAAGGGACTCTCTAGATTGTGCTCGTCGAAGGCAGTACTCACATTACCAAGGTCCAACAACTTTTGAAGGAAATGTTCGACGGGAAGGAACCCAACAAGAGTGTTAATCCTGATGAAGCTGTTGCTTATGGCGTTGCTGTTCAAGGTGGAATTCTCAGTGGTGAAGGCAGAGACGAAACCAAATGTAATGAAATTGCTCTACAACAAGCGTAGTTATTGTAATTTTGGGATGAAATTTCCTTTTTTTAAGAAATTTTGTTTTATGTTCGTTGCAGACATTCTCTTGCTCGATGCTGCGCCACTTAGTTTAGGATTGAAATGGTTGGTGGGGTGATGACCAAATTGATTCCAAGGAACACCATCATCCCCATCAAGAAATCTCAAGTTTTCATGACCTGCCAAGACCAATAAACGACTGTTGATCAAGGTAAGGAAAATGATTTTTTTTTCTTTTTTTTTTTTTTCATGTGAGCAACAAGTATTTTTAGTTGTTTTGACAAAACTAATTGAATCTCTGTTTGGGAAAAAAATATTTAGGTCTATGAAGGTGAGAGGAGCTTAACCAAGGATTGTTGTGAGTTTAGAAGATTTGATCTCTCGAACATTCCACCTGCTCCAAGGTGAGTAAAAAGCATTACTCAGAATAATATATGAATGAGAATGTAGAAACCAGACACTAATTATAAGTGGCTTGTGTTTAAATTTGAATTGCAGGGGAGTTCCATAGATTGATGTTACATTCTAGGTGGAGAGCAAGGTTTAGCTGAACATTTTGGCTATTTAGAAGGTTGTGGAACCAATGATAAGGTTCCACACCAATAATAAAATACATGGGCCCACACCTTTCACAATGTGGGCCATGAATTTATTACTGGTGTGGAACCTCATCATTGGTTTCACAACCCGCTGAACAACCAAAGCGTTTAGCTAATCCGAGACGCAAATGGTATTCTTCATGTGAGGGTGAAGGACAATGCAACCAAGAAATTAGAATCAATCACCATAACAAATGACAAAGGGTGTCTAAGCGAGGAGATAGAGGATGGTGATGGAAGCAGAGGAATTCATAGAGGATGATAGGAAGGTGAAGGAGAAGATCATGTGAGGAACAAGCTAGGAACATACGTCTACAACATGAAGAGCACTATCAACGACAAGGACAAACTCTCTGATAAGATCGATTCTGATGGCAAGGAGAAGATGGAGAGCACACCAAAGGAGGCGCTAGAGTGGTTGGATGAAAACCATAGTGCAGAGGACAATTACAAAGAGAAGTTGAAGGAGGTAGAAGCAGTGTGTAATCAGATCATAAAGCAAGTACACGAAAAGAGTGATTGGACGAACTTCCTGTCTCCGGTGTTATTGAGGAGTTCTTTGACGGGTGCATGGACTTCCTACCTCATTTCTTTAAAATTTTCATAAATTGGGTTTTATTTTGAAAATTTGAGGAATAGTGTTCTATTAGCATTTAATGACGGTGTCAATTGTCAAAAACATTAAGGGTACTTTAAAACAATATGTAAACGATAAGAATAGAGTTAGTCAATTAGTTAAACCATAAGGGTGGTTTAAGAAATTAGCCCTGCATTGCCACTAACACGATCAAGTTGTGTATTTGATTGTTATATTTCATTTTAACTTCTATATACTAATTAATAATTATTTGCTTTTATTGTGTTATATTTGTTAACTGCTAACTCCTGCAACTCTTACTATTATACTGTTCATTTGTTTCTTATAATTGCAATTCTCGATTCGGCAGTGTAATTAATCATTAAGAGTTAATTGTTGAATCCATCAACTAAGCCTTATTCAACTACATCTTGTTGAACTAACAAGAAGGGTTAGTTTCAGTTTTGGGGGAAGGGTTTTAAGCTCAATTTGCTTACAACAATATCATTTTTGAAGCTATACTCAATTCATCATCTCTTGGGTAAGACCATCAATCCTAACAAAATCAATCAAATATTTTTAGTTTTGTATTATTTATTATCATTATTAATAATTAATAATATATTATTATGTTATTAGTTTTAATAATTAATATCTCAGTATTTCGTTATTTATTTATTTATATTTTATTAATGGTTTATCTATAATTTATTATTTTGGTATTACTTAATTATTTATTAATTATTAATGCATTATTATTTTGTTATTACCTTATTAATTTTTATTACTATATTATTAATGTTACTACTACTTTAGTAATATTCTATTATTTTACCAATATTTCATTAATGTTATGGGTTAGGTGCATCAGGATTTTTTTTCACAAGTTCTTTACTTTTTCGGAAATTCTAAAGTATGGTAATGTTATGGGGGCTTGTATGGGCCATTCTCCCGAACGAGAAATCCTATTCCGCCAGAACCAAGTATGGTAATCATAATCCTATTCCTATTAAACGAAACGGCTGAAATCAGAAACGGGTCATTCCAAACATCTGTTGCAAGAAACCAAAGGGATAAGTGGTCTCTTCTCATGTGCCATGCATAAGAAATTTCAACACTGCGCTGTTTTTTACAAACAGGCAAACAGCCAAACTTTTTGGGTTTCATTCTAATGAATTCCCTGCAGGGCATTCAATTTGCGGGCCCCAACAGAACAGTTTCTTCCATTAGAAATGAGTAAACCCGACAATCTCAATATCTACCAAAAAGTCGGACAATCTCCACCACAAAACCCACTCGATTCTTAACGGAAGGTCAGAATTCCTCAACCAAAACTATCTCTTATCCATGGTAAATAAAAGAAAAAAAAAAGAAAAAGAAGAGAAAGATTTTTTTATACCAAACGTATGGCACATGGATTAGGTCCCACCACGCACACGGTGGTACGAGGACCACTAAAATATCAGTAAATGGGAGGTGAGGAATGGCCTGAATGAAATGCTTTCGGGTCAACGAGAGCGTGCTCGTTGGATCACTCACTAGTCACTAGTCGAGGAAGGTGAAGCCGTAAATGACGCGCGAAAAAATATCTGAGCGGAGCGAGTGGCGGAGAGGCCAAGTAAGTACGCCAGCAGTAGCAGTGTCCCCCAAAGTTTGTGGATATGCCACGTGCTACCTGTTGCTGTGCCTGTTGCCCTGTAACATGTTGGAGTTGGAGGGTCACCAGCTTCCTCTCGTAGATGCTGACGTGGCAGATACTCCCTCCATAGAAAGATATTTTCCGCGAGTCGGTGTCAATCGTGGCATTCTGTACCAAAAGATCTCTCTCTCTCTCCTCTGTTTTGTTTTCTTTTATGTAGAAAGGAAAAATAAGTAAACAATTAATAAAGAAAATGGAGCGCAGGGAAGGCGAAGGGGGGGAGGTTGTCGTCGCCGGAGGCCAGGCGGAGGAGGTTGCAAGTGGCCGGGAAATGGAGCGCCTGGTGGTGAGGCATGTAATTGCGGGGACTCTAGGAGCATCGTCGAGGAATCGCGACTCGACGACGGCAGGAGGAGGAGGGGGAGAAGAGCAGGTGATTAGGTGCGAGAGGTTTCTACCAAGGAGGTCCTTGAGGGTTTTGCTTGTTGAGAGTGATGATTCTACTAGACATATTATCGCTGCTTTACTCCGGAAATGTAGCTACAAAGGTATGCTCTGTATCTTCCTCTTTAGATACTCTGTTTTTTTCACTTGCTTTGATTGTCGAATCAAGACGGGTTGTGATAAGAGATTTTACTTTAGATCCATCCTGTTTATTGTAATTTTGTTTAGAGATGAGAATTTGCATTAAGATTTAGAGTCAAGGCTGAATGATCTCTCTTTTCAGTCCCTTTTATGATAATGGAACTCTAAGTACGAAGCAATGGTTAGTTTAAAAGAGTTTATAATTCAGTCTCTTGTCTTAGTGTTTTATGGTTTAAATGATGCATGATGAAGCGTGAGATTTCAGGGCTTCTTATGAATGATATAACTTGTTTCTTACTTTGCCCAGTGGTAATAGATAACGAAAGAGTAATCCACATGCTTTGCTTATTTTTCAATGGATATTTCGGTTCACTGTTATAGATGTCTAAAAGCAAGTAATGTTTGGTGGATGCGGTGACCTTAGGCAGTCGGTAAATAGTTATGGTGTGAGTTCAAACTGGAGAAGTTTCTAATGAATGTTTAATCATACAAAGTAAGAGGTGGTACTGAAAGTGGATTTTTACTCTGCATGATCTAGACTGGTTTGGTTTCTTCTGCATTTCTGGCAATTGTTTCCCACAATAAAGGAGTTAAGAACTAGGAAGAAGAGGAAAGTTCATATTTAAGTTGAATCTTGATAGATAGTTTGTGTGGGATGTTATATCTCCTGAGGCTCATCTAAATCAGTCTTGTTTTGTTTTTATTTTTTATTTTTTGGATTTGTGGGTGATGACAAGTATCACACTGTCTATACACCATCAAAGTAGCAGGTTTATATTCAGATCTCCTAGGACTTTCGTGGCCCACATTCTATTGGGAAACTATCAGATAATTCCACGATACGTCCTTTTCTTCTGCTAAATCTAACCCATTCTATTGCAGCCTTGTATGAGGACCAAATGCTAGGGTTTTTTTTGTTCAACCGATGCTTTAATAAGGTGTTCCATAACCAGCTACTTTGTGAAATGGATATTCCATAAAAAATGGATCTGATAATGTACGTCTAGCAGAGGAGTGCTTCAGGCCTATCATTTTTCACAAAGCCTAATTAAGAATCACATTTTAATGCCAAAGTTTAATGCATAGCTTGTGATATGACTTCTGTGCAGAAATCATGTCCAAGAAAGATGTTGTTTAGCTATCGCAAGTGTGGTTTTGGTGAATGGGCTTCAAATTCTTTGAGCTCAACTATGGATCATGAAAATGAATTTATTACCAAGTACAGGGAGTGGTGTTGATTCAACCAACATCATAATGTTGGTATGGGTATAAAATGGAATAAATCCTGGCTATAAAATTGTAAAATGGAAATAGGTATTCCATTTCTTGTCCTCATCCTGAACTGATGGATGTTTAAGTGTGGTACTGAGAAACTGATATGATCTTTCCCAAATGGTATTGCCAATCTGAGTTAAATGCTTGAAGTGGACCATTCAATATGTCAATGATAGGTCCAAGTTAGCCTTAAATGATTAAGTATATTTCGGTTACAAAACAATTGGTGTTTTTATAGGAACTTTCTGATTCTTGTAATATTATCTCCAGTACTCAGTTTTGGGCATAAGGCATGAATGATGATGATGACTCAGTTTTGGACATCAACCTTGTAAATGCAACTTTTTCTTTTGCTTTTTCATGGTGTCAATGGATATTAAGCCTAAGCTCTTGTCTGGATGTCAATAAAGAAGGCCAACCTTTCCCCAGATTTTTCTGAAAAGGGGTTTTCCTATCACTCTATTGTAGCAAGGATAGCTTAGAGTTCTCTCTCTCTCTCTCTCTGACTGCCCTTGTTAACCTCTTATATTTGGTAAAAGTAACACTTTTGTCAAGTAAAGTCTGCTTCACATTATTCCACTGAGGCACTGATACTAATAAATCTCAAGTTCTAGGCATATAGCACAAGAAGTGATTGCTAGCCAATATCCTTTGCCTTTTCCAAGATATATAAAGTACTGTGACAAACACATCTATTGTGTTAGCTCTGCTCACAGGTCACTGGGAGTTTTGTTATCATAGATCATTTCAGAATTGCATTTTGCCATTAAAGAATGAGAAAAAGATGGATTAAAAAGTATTTCAAAATGAAGAAAGAAGTACAAAGCCTACTCCTGACAAGAAGTAATACCCTTCAATAGTTCCTTTAGATTCTTTGACATTATTAAGGCCTGAGAACTGCAAATGCTGTTCCTTTTTCTTTTTCATTTTCTTTTCTTTACTTTCTTCTTTCTTTCTTTCCTTTTCTGCTGAAGCAGCCTCCAGTTTCTTAGAAATTAGCTTGTTTCAGTTTCAAAATGAAAAGCTATTGTTAGATTAAAATGTGATTGGTAATCTATCCATGTGTAAGTTGCATATGATACAATAATTGTCATCTTTAATTATTTATTATTCATCTCAAGACATTTATAATAGTAAGAAACTATATGTACATTGTAAAGAAATTGTTTTTTAATATGCATTCTATTTTATTTAATTAGTTATATAATAATATAACTGGAATTATGTCTCAGATTGGGATCTTTTACCATATTAAATTCCCCAGGTTTTGTTGATTTTCTTATATTAACATTAGCAAGTTGGCTCTACTTGTCAATCTAATTTGCTGATATCTATGACTATGACAAGTTAACTGTATGGTGTTTGTTTAATGCTCAAGAAAACATCTTTGCATTGCTAACGAGACATATATTGCTTTGATGTCTCTTCAGTCTTCCACTTCCTGTGTGTTGCATGACTGAACTCGTGTGCTCAAATTCATATGCAATAGAACGTTTTATTTGACATCTCTTTCTAGTTTTCTCATTTATTTAATTGTGATTTTAAAGTCTGTGAGTGGTCTATACCACGTATATTATTGTTTTCAGTTTTCCAATTATGGTAAATTTCCCCTCTCCATGAATAGAAAGAAAATAAAGAGGAAAAATAAGATGGACATGGCAGCTCATGGATAGGATAGTACCTATTAATACATTGTTTAATCTTCATTATATATACTGTTTATTTGATCATTCTTGAAGACCTTTGGCCTTATTATGAAAGCTTTCTCTAGGACCTAGGTTGGATAGTATTAGATTATCAAATTCATCCTAAAGTAGTGATCTTAATGCTTGGAGATGTCATTGCCATTTCTTTGTACACACATAAATAATTTATTTCATCTTTTCTATGGCCTGGTGTTTTCCTTGGCAATATTTTGATGGTGCAAAGTTTCCCTACTAATCTTGATTTTCAAATGTGGCCTATACAGTTGCTGCAGTTGCAGATGGGCTCAAAGCTTGGGAGTTCCTAAAGGAGAAACACTACAATTTTGATCTTGTATTAACTGAAGTGGTGATGCCTTCTCTCTCTGGGATAGGTCTTCTCTCCAAGATCATGAATAATGAGATATGCAAAAGTATTCCTGTAATCAGTAAGTCAAAAATGTAAAGTTGTTTACATACCATTTTTAATACTTCTTGATGCCTGATAATTATTTTGCCTTGGCTTTCTTGTCTGGTAGTGATGTCCTCACATGATTCCATTGGCATAGTGTTCAAATGCATGCAAGAAGGTGCTTCAGACTTTCTAGTGAAGCCAGTTAGAAAAAATGAACTAAGGAATTTATGGCAGCATGTTTGGAGAAAGTATTCTGTATGTCCTATCCCTCTACCATTCAATCTCCATGTTTGAATCATTTGTTTCCTATAAATTCAACTTAACCACTGTGCTGATTCTTTTGGGAATATAAATTAGTGAAACTTAGACCCCTCTTGCAGTCTAATAGTTCTGGAAATTGGTATGGAGGTGGTACTCCAAACCAGGTAAGATTTGAGGCTGTGTCTGACAATGATGCTGCTAGTAATCATAGAAATGCAAATGCTGGCAACAAATCCAAAACAGGGAACCGTTCTGATAAAGAAAGTGATACTCAGGTAAGCATCCTGATCTTTTGATTATATTTTATTAATTATGTATCGTTTGACTCTAAATATCTCATTTTCTTTAAATCTAAGCATGCATTATATTATGGAAAGGACATATAAGTTATATTACTGGCAAAGAATTTATTTGAAGAATAGTCAATGTGATATATAAATTGCTGTAAGGGGTACTTATAACAATAAAATACCATTTAGTCATTTAACAAGGTTGTTCCTTCTTTATGATCTTTTCTTTTTTAGTAGGTACTTTTTCCTAATTTGAAGTTTTCCCATTTAGGAAATTTTTATATCCATGTTGAAGGTCTAACACAACAAGTCCGATGTAGACAAGATTTTATCTGCTTGCCATATATTTTTCTCTGTTACTAACATATTGTCATACATGTTAGATTCTTTGAACTACATATTATTTCTTTTGCTCACTATGTTAGCGAACTTATTAGAATTATATATCATTCTCTATAATAGCCCAAAAGGGCATGATTTCATTTCGTGTTTTTAGAAGTCATGCATTCTTGACCTTGTATCAGTTTCAGGAATGAGTACACATCTCAATATTTTAGTTGCATATTATTTTTATAAAAATATTTACATTTACAATTTCATTTTTTTCTGATTTTTTGTGAAAGACGGTATGTGGATGTGGGTATATCATATCATATACTGTTTATGCAGAGCTCATGTAGTAAACCAGAGACTGAAAATGAGATTGTAAGGAAACCAGGGGAGTCTCTTGAAACTGAAAATAGGAGTTTCCTCAAGGAAACTAATTCAATATTAGAGAAGCATGAATATAACATGGTGACTGCATCATCAATGCATGAGAGGGGAAAATCAGAAGGTAGTCATTTTTTGTTTGGTTCTTTTGCTTGGTACTATATAGGATCAAATAGATACTGTGATATATTTTAATCTCTGCTTTTGCAGATAAATCAACAAGGCTAGAAATCAAAGTATCAAAAACTGCTTCAAATAAAGAGGTTTGGGAGAAGAACGGTATTTATTCTGGATCCCTATGCAGAGGGGAGTGGTCAACCTCCATGAGAAATAAAGAGGGTGCAGCCAACAATCCTGAATCTCTTGATCAAACTGAGGGAACAAAGGAACCTCCAAGAGAGATAATTAACTTCATTGGGGTGGAAACTTCTAAACAATGTAGTTCTCCTTCTCCAGTCTTGGGAAATAATGATAATGGAAAGGTTGTTTTATGTCAACCTGCAAAATCTTTTGATGCAAGGAGTAGAATGTGTACTTCTGGTCCCTTTCCTTTGCGGGAGCTTTCTTTAGAACATGTAAAGCATCAGAATGGTGGAGTTTTTCAGGAAAAGCATGTACTTAATCACTCTGATGCGTCCCCATTTTCAAGGTGAGCTTGCTGTCTTCGGATATCATTCTATGCTTCACTGCTTGGGCCCGAATCATTCTGATGCATCCCCTTACAAATGCATCTTACACCACACATTTGTATTATCATGTATGCAATCCATCTTAACTGACAGATGGGGAACCACCTGAATGGATTTGATTTTCCAGATCTGGTGAATGATACATTTGTCAGAGGCACCAAGTTCCTATTAAATTTGCTTCTGTATAAAAAATAAAAACAAAAAGAAAAATTGTTAAAAAGCAAATTTAAAAGATAAAACCCTAAAGAGGAGGAGAATTGTGACTTGAGAGTGCCAAAGGGTCTATCACAGAATCAGTCATCATTTCCCTTCAGCATGGTATGAGCATTTCTTTTCTAATGTGTTTAAACCAGATATTCTTAGGCCATGTTTTATGGTGTCAGCTACTGTTTAATACTACAACAAACATGGTTTGGATGTGAACTGCCAAAACTTTAATATTGAGTGGATTTGGAAGTCCCTACCAATAGCTACATTGCTTTCTACAATGCAGTTATTCTAATACCACTATCAAATTTATTTCTTCTAATTGTGCAAAATAAAGCATGATTCCAGGTTTTGTTTACCTTTTTTAAATTTTCCAAGAATCCAAATATATATTTGGAGTTGGAATTTGTTTCTTATTAAGGAACAAGTTTAATGCTTGAAAATAAAACTATCACTCCCAGATTGATAGTGTAACAAGAAGCATAAGATGGACTAAGCTTCCATGGAGGTACTAAGCCAGTGATGTTGCTTCTCATAAGTTCATAAGTCCTTTGAAATCGAAGTTACCTTAAAAAATATACAGATATAATTTAATTAGACAAACGTTTCAAGAACAGGGGAACAACGATTTCTGAGTAAAGTGAAGTTTTTTTTTTTTTATATCTTGTGCAGGTATGCTGGTTCTAGGATTCATGTTTCCTCTTCAAGGTCAGGATCTTCTTCTGCCAGTTTATGCATAAAAACCGATGGCTCTAGTTCAGTAAAATCTCACATAAATTCAAGTTCCAATGATGGGAAAAGTATTTGCTATTATATCTCATCTTCTAGCAGAAATGAAGATGGAGAGCCTTCATCATCTGTTACTTTAAGGGAGGATGCCTGTGTTGGTCATTCTTTCACTGAGAATATTGTATTTCCTTATCCCCAACTTGGGTTCATTCCACTTCCTGTTCCTGTTGGAGCAATGCCTTTTCAGAATTTATGTGCTGGCTATAACACTATACTGCAACCAACTTTCTATCAGGAGACTTCTACACTTCTATGTGAGTCATCTGAAATGGGGAGACAAGATGCATTACATCCACCCAACCAATGTGTTCATGACAATCATTTTACTAATGATTTCAATAGTGATACTTGTCACCACTGTGTGGAGAATCCCCATCCCCATCGTTTGACACATTCCATCAAGGAAAGTGGAGACAATAGTAAACCCACATATCCAAGAACAATGTTTCCAAAACCTACTGAGATGGCTGATCAACTTGGTATCTGTAACCATGGTATTACTGATGCTAGTGGAAGCAATGGGAGTGATGAGGATGCAAGTGCAGCTGCCAACACAGGAATTTCTGTGGAGAGTGGAAATGAAGATGGGTTCCGAAACTGCAAAGGGAAAGTATTAGAACGTGACTGCTCTCGACGTGAGGCTGCATTGATTCGATTCCGCTTGAAACGAAAGGACAGATGCTTTGAGAAAAAGGTGACAACTTGTGCTATTGGAATTTTTGCCTATGTTCTGTTCCATGGTTTTTATGGGGACTAAGTGTCCGAATTCTTTTCCCTCTTCTCTCTGCACAGAAAATGGTTCTGGAAAGACCTGCTATGTTGACAGAATGATGGTTCCATTAACTAAGAATTCTTTAAATCTCAAACCATGTAATTTATCTGCTATGGCATTACTATATTGTAATATGATAATAAGCTTTTTTGCAACTCAATGTAGACTCCTTTGTTTTTTCAGGTTAGGTATCATAGTAGACAAAAGCTTGCAGAGCAACGCCCACGATTGAAAGGGCAATTTATTCGTCAATCAGTTGCTGAATCAACTGCTATTACTGCAGAAGCAGAAAGTTGAGTTAAAGATAATGTATTTTTTAAATATTGTGAAAGTTTCATATCCACGAGTACAAAGTTAAAGGTATGGGAGAAGGCCTTCTAACTTTATACAAAAAACTTCTAAATTGGTAGTTTTTTTTTTTTTTTCATTTGGTCCCTAAAATGATGGGTTCCAAATCCCAGTGATTGATGTATTTATGTTGAACATGCTCACATGATATATTGAAATATTAATTAATTGTGAAAATGATACTCATGGCTTGAGAATGAAGACGCTCACATGAACACGCTCACATGATGTATTTATTACGGACAGACCAGGCCCAATCATATCTAATAAATATTTTGGACCGGATTAGGGGTGCAAATGGATCAAATCATGATTTGATCTGATCCGAGATATGATCATATTTGGTCGAATTCGGATCACCCCTGTTCGGATCGGAACAGATCGGATTTGGATAATCCCTATTTGATCCGATATATATATTATATTTATAAATATAAATATATATAATACATATATATGTTATTTATTTATTTATAAATATATTTTTATAAATTTGTTATATTATTTATTTTATTTAAATTAATATATTTTAATTTTCTTTTAATAATTTATTAATTTTTAAAGAAAACAAGTCGGATCAGATCAGATTCGAAAATTTGACTTACCGATACGATTTGAATATCCAATCAGATCCGACATGAACAATGTCGGATCGGATTCAAATATACCCTGATTCGAATCTGATCCGATCCGTTTGCATCCCTAGATTGGATTGGTCTAATCTAATATATCTTATTGGTCCATACAAACCGTCCAAATTGATTTTGGACTGGACGGGGTCCAATCCAAAACTGGTCCATTGACACCTTATCTCCAAGATTCCAACCAAGGATAAATCGTAAACAAAAAATGGACTAGATCGATTAGTTGGTTGGATAGTTTACATGAAGGCATTAAGATTCATTATGGTGAAGAATGAAGATGCTAACCATTTCTTTTTTGTCGGTGCAACTTGATATCTATGATCCATTATCTATTTGCTGAACTGAACTCCTCAATAGCAGTTAAAACATCACCAGCAAGTTCTCTATTTTTGAATTTCAGTTGTTCATCCAAATATTAATGACTATCTTGACAAAAAGGGACAAGTTATGCGTGATGATGATTTGTTGTGGTTCATTTCAAGAAAGAAGACTTGAGCTCAGTCCTGCATACCGTGGGGCATGGGCCATGAAGGAGTTCGCGCATTTCTGTTAAAACAATGGGTGGATGATAGTTCGGAGGACGCTGCCTCTGGTTCTATTGTCAGGAGGAAGAAGATGAAGGATACTTCTTCCAAAATCTTGAGCTCTAACAAGAGATATTTAGAGGGATAGTATGGTAAATTTGATAAAACCATTTATTATTTAACAACAAATCACAGAGGGTTCTCTAGAGTTTTGAAAACGTGATAGTGAGTTTAAGAAAAATGCAAAAAAATTAAAGGTGAATTTTAGATAATATCCCCAAAAAAATTGTTTTTAAAACATCAAAAGTTGAAAACAGTCCAAAAAACTATCCCGTAATATGTTCCTTTCAAGTACAAAGCCAGATTGGTTCTTGATGTGTCCCACTCGAAGCTTGGTTGAAAGTAAATTGCATTGCAAGCTTCAATAACTGCACCAAGAAGGTGGGCCTCACATGCATAATCAGGGATCACATGGAGCAAGTTGCGGCAGCCATAGGCAAGCTAGAACCTTTCTGCTTGGTGGAGGATGATGCCAAAAGGAAGATCGATCAAGATGGGTTGCTTAGATGCCATCAAAGTTAGAGGGAAAAGAATAATTGTGGAATCTGATGCTCTTCCATTCCAATCATCCACAAGATCAAAACCTCGGCTGGTGTGAAGTTGTGAACTCCAATTCGAGATTGGCTTCAGTCAGAGCTAGGCCCGTTCGAACAGCCTTTACAACCTTTCATCGAAAATATCTCCGTACTTCTGTACTTTATTTCATTGGGAGATATTCCCAATGCGAGGCAGTGATGGCTGTTCGAATGGACTTGGCTCTGGCTGAATCCGGTCTCCTCCGATTCACCCTTGCTTGGCATTTGGAAAACATCATCGCTGGCTACCACCCTTCAACGGCATTTGTATTCGATGACTTTGTACCAAACCACCCTCTGTAAATCTAATCAATTTCGCTTTTTCTTATCAAAAGAATAAATAAATAACCAAATACCAAAATACGCCACTATGGCTCTATTCTAACCCCTTCTTCAGTCAATCTTCCGTCTTCCTACAACCATTCTGGCCTTGAATCCACCAAACAGAAGATACTTGCATCTTCATGACTGATCATTCTGTACATCCATTTGTATGCAACAATATATATTCATCCATTTAACCAAAAATTCATATTTATTTAATTGCTATACTCACTATATATACAACAGATTCTGCCATTGAAAGAATACAAGAGATGGGGAAAGAAAAACTGGATAAGGCAGAGGTAGGCCTGTTCTGCTTGTAATTCAAATGGAATTTGAATAGGTGAATGCCAAAAGGTAACAGAAGAAGAGAACTGGCAAGAAACTGAAATAACATACAGATGATATCTGAGACATCACACAAGCCGTCCAGAGTCCTCTATCATCATCCCTTTGAGACTCTTTGCCAACCAGATTGCTGTCTCTCGTGGAGAGACCTTATCCTTCCCAAAAGGCTTCAAGACAACGGCAAGTTCTTCAAGCCTATTTTGTTGTAGCAACTCCGCAGACAGTTCCAGCAACCCTTCAAGTGCCTCTGCTCTCTGCCTAAACGACTTTACATTCAAAGTTTCTTTCGCTGGAGTGTCCTCTTCCTTCACACCAGTAGTGGTAACCTCTGAAGAGGAATTTGTTAGTTCAGAAAAGTCAGGTTTTGGAATAGGTCGGGTAGGGTTCCTGGCATCTACTTCTTTGTTGCCTGGACTGCCCGAAATACTTGATTTCACAGTAACTGCTTCCAAGCAACCTGGTGACTTCAGAGTAACCGGTGGTGTTGTGCTTCTCATCTCCACCTCCTCCCTTACTACATTTAGTAACTTGCCTACATCCATATTGTTGCCTGGACTGCCCGAAATACTTGATTTCACAGTAACTGCTTCCAAGCAACCTGGTGATTTCAGAGTAACTGGTGGTGTTGTGCTCCTCATCTCCACCTCTTCCCTTACTACATTTAGTAACTTGCCCACATCCATATTTTGAACCCCCATCTCCACGGTTTCCATCACAGGCTGCTCACTCCCTACTCGGAAGCTGCTGTGCCTTATGACATGGATGACATCATCAAAGGCTGGTTTTAAATGGGCCTGGGCTGCATTTGGCTTCTCAACTGCTGGACTTGGCAGTACTGGAATCTTCTCAGGTTGCAAATTGTTTTGGGTTGCTGAAATTGGTGTAGTGTCAGCCACGGATGAAAGGAGTTCTGTCACAGTAAACTTGTCATCATCGCTAGGTGTAGAAATAAGCTTGGATTGTGGTATTGCATTGTCTCTATTGCTAGGCTTGCTTATGGAGATTTCATCCTTACAGGCATACTCATGCTCAGAGTTTGGGAAACATGGCTGTGGACCAGCACTACCACTCATTTTGTCATTACTGGTAGTATTCTTCTGATGATCCAAATTCGCCTCAGATGTCTTGACCGAGCATGATACAGGTCTATAATCATGTCCTTTACTTTCCACAGATAGGTTTTCTGGCCTAGCAGTATGTAGACATGGAGCAACCAAGCAAGTAGTAGGAATTGCTTTGCCCTTTGAAGTTTCAGTGTAATCATGTCCCTGTGAAATTTCAGTATGACTGTATCTCTCATGGAGTATCATATTCGGTGAACAAGAGTTGCTTTGCCCCTTGAAGTTTGGTAAAGGGGCTGCTAGCTCTTCACAAAGCTCAAGAAACTGAGTTGACTTTGACGATGGTACCAAAATGGTGCTATCTGTCTGTAGTCCTCTGGAATTGTTACTGTCTGTATCTGTCTGCTGTAGTCCTCTATAATTGATGCTATCTGTCTGTAGTCCTATGGAATTTTTGCTATCTGTCTGTAGTCCTCTAGAATTGGCGATGTCTGTCTGTAGTCCTTTAGAATTGGCACCATCTGTCTGTAATCCTTTAGAATTGGCATTGTCTGTCTGTAGTCCTTTAGAATTGGCACCATCTGATGGTAATCCCTTAGAATTGGCACTATCTGTCTGTAGTCCTTTAGAATTGGCACTGTCTGTCTGTAGTCCTTTGGAATTGGCACCATCTGTCTGTAGTCCTTTGGAATCTCTTACTGGAGTTTTTTCAGATTCCTGTGCAATTGGTGTCAGGGCATGCTTGATGACATTGGGCAAATCAGAAATCCTTTCAGGCTCTTGGGTCATATCACTTGGTCCTGGCTTCAAGCCATTATTCACAGGGCTTGAAGGCCTCAAAGGTCCTGAAAAGGAAGATCGTCTAGCCAGAATAGGAGGACGTTGCCTGGGCTTGGCTGGAAGTCCATCATCTAGAACTTGTTTTACAAGACCAGGAGATGAAGCTCCATCATACTTGGCTTTAGTTTTTGGAGAGGAGTCAAACAAAGGAAACTGAAAAACATAAGACAATAAATGATGTCATTTCAATAACATTAATAAAGAAAATGAAAAGAAGAAAATAAAATATTTTTACCTGATGCTTCAAAAGATGTGATCCTTGGACCCGTTTCACAGAATCACTGTTTGCCTTTGCTGTAACACCAGGTGTATCCACATTGGATTTAGAACCAGGAGGAATTGCATTGGGTTTGGGGACTTTAGGTGATGCTTCTATGTTAACTTTTTGGGTAGTTACAGCTCCAGCCTTTGCACGATTGCCTCTCATTGGTGAACTATTTTCTCGGGCTTTTCCCTCTTCTTTCAAAGCCATAAATAAGTTCCTAATTGTTTTTGGTTGTTTTGCTTCAACCTTGGGTTGTTGTTCGACATGAGGGGGGTTCACCACCTCTTGTTCATCCACTTTGACAGTGGATCTACCAATTCCATGTTCATCACTTATGAAGGGCTGCTCACTATCCACTCCATCATCAGTTGAAACAACATCTGTGTCAGTGGCTTTGTGGTCACAGTTGAACACCAATGCTGAATTGTTTCTTTCACTTGAAACCAAACTTTCTTTATCACTGCTAGAACTGTTACTATTTTGGCTTTCAGCCATATTTTTCTGAGCATGGCATGCAGTAGAGATTGGTTTCTCTGGGGAATAGGCTGTAGGGGGACTGGAAGATGCACGGTATTGATCAACATATGGTTGCAAATAAGGATGCCTTAGCATCTCAGATGCCTGATCAAGGTTCAGTGTAGACTATTAGATGGAGTTGTGATGAAAAAGAACCACAAAAGTTGGCCAAGGGAAAAAAGAGATGCTTACGCTTGGACGATGCTCTGGGTTCTTCCTCAGCATGCTCTTGATAAGTGTCTTCCTGTTTGAAATTACATTTTACAGATTTTGGTGATAGTTTCTAGAAATGAAATGGTGGAATCATCTATTACATATGAAATACAAACCTCAAGGACAAAACATAACAGAAGAAGAACAAATTAAGGACTTACAAGGAAGAGGAATAGCATGCTGGCAAAGGGCCAATGGATGAACGGTTTATCTTGCTTATTAATCCTGCCATATCCTGAAACCCGATGCACAGATCCCATGTAACTAAAAGCTCCAATAGAAATTACAGCAAAACCAAGGAATTGTATGATGCACACTTGAGCATAAAAAAAAGTAATTAATTAGCAAAAGAGAAATATACCCTTGGATCAAGAACTTGAAGAAGAAAAGAAAATTTTAGAATAGTGAATGATATAAAAATCCATCAATTAAAATGGGTTGCAAGTTTTCCTAATGGCAAGGTTTCTATCGATATCGAATTTGCGAACCTTGGTTGCAACATAAAAATGTGTTTCCATGCTTCACAAATATAAGCATCTTCCCTGAATTTGATTATTGTCATCTATGAGGATGTAGCATTTTTTTCTTTTCCTTTTCTATTTGTGGGGATTGGGGAGGGGTTGTTTTGCATGTGATACCAAAAATCACCAAAGACTAAAAAAACCTGAGATTGAACTTGGAAGCCTTAGCTTCTACTTGAACTTTCAAATTTGAAGCAAGAGAAAAACTACATAGAAGAGAAAGGGGTTTGAAGACCACTCAAATCACTTTGATAACTCAAACACTTGTCTGAGCAGGTGTTTCACTGTTTCCTATCTCTTCAAGTGAAAGACATAACCAATTTGGTGAAAAGGCCAATAAAGGTTCCTAGCAAGTTTTGGGAACACTGAAAAGGACAGAGAGTTGAGGTGGCGATGAGAGACCCTAGGACTCTGGATAAGGATTTGTTGAGTCTGGTTGAATGTAGTTCTTTCTGGGTCTTTGAACAAAGGATTAATCTTGATTCTTGAAAGGAGCATATCATACAAATCCAAAGTTTAAAATACTGACACGATACACCCAATATGAGGCGTATCATAATGGCATCCAAAGGTGTGGATACATAGAATGGGTGGAAAATGATGCGACCTATTGTGGCAGATGTGTTTAGCAGAATGATTTCTAAAGCAGACAGGGAGGAGCTAATAAGCGGTTGGAGGATAGGTAGAAATTATGTCATGATGACCCACCTTCAGTTTGCAGATGATATTATTATTTTCTGTGAGGGGAGAGACCTAAGGAGAGTGAGGAATCTGAAAACTCTTATTAAATCCTTTGAGTTTACCTCCAACTTGTCAATCAACCTTGATAAAAGCTGCGTGGTGGGAATCAATTTGGAGGATGGGGAGATAGAGGCTATTGCAGGTTGCTTCGGATGTTCTATGTCCCATTGGCCTTTGACCTACTTGGGGCTTCCACTAGGAGCTAACCCCAAAGAAAGTCGATTTTGGTATCCAATTGTGGAGAAGTTTGAAAAGAGGTTGGCGTCCTAGAAGAAGAGTTACATTTTCGTAGGGGGTAGAGTGACCTTGATTAGGGCTACACTTGCTAGTCTGCCAATTTATTTTCTATCAGTATTTAGGATACCCTCAAGGGAAGCTAAGAAGCTAGAAAAAGTGATGGTGGATTTTTTGTGGGAGCCAGGGGAAGTGAAGAAAGACCATTTGATTAGGTGGGAGATAGTTAGCAGAAGCAAGGAAGAAGGGGGACTAGGACTAGGTAACTTAGTTCTTAAGAATGAAGCTCTACTAGCGAAGTGGTTATGGAGATGGCCTTTGGAGAAAGAGGGAGGCTATGGCACAAGGTGGTGACTAGAGGTGTAAATCGGGCTATGCCACCCCTGGCCCGATACGATGGTTTGGGCCGTGCTGGGCCTGGGGTTCCAGGTCCACAAGCTGGTACGACTGTGTGTGCTGTGCCGCCCACGGCCCAGTCCGCGGCACGACCCATCACTAGTTGGCACGGAATGACCCGTGGGCTAGTAGCTATATAGGTTTTTTTACAGAAATACCCCCAACAACTATAAACAACTATGTAGGGGGGTATTTATGTATTTTGGTTTTGGGGGGAGAAAGAATGACACAAATGCCCCCCAACAGCTATATAAGAACTAGTTTGGGGACATTTTGGGTAAAGTGATAAATAACTTTATAATGACCAAAATACCCCTCCCAAAAAAAACAACTAGTTTTTAGGGCATCCTATAAATAGCCCTATCCTCCACCATTTTCAATTCCTACAATGATCAAATTCGTGAACAATAGGAGAAAATGATGAAGTCAATATTTTTTGTATACTCAATAGTTGTATAGCATTTTTTCAAATTATTGTAAATTTTGTTTTAATTTTATTTAATTCATTTGATTTTTTAATAACGTAATTTTTTATTTTCAATTTGTAACTATATTGTATTTTTTATATTTTATTAATTTATTCCATTTTCCAATTTTCATATTTCATTCATTCAACCATTGTATGCTTTGTATCGTTCAAATTTAAAAGAAATAAAATTCCTATTTTTCTTCCAATTTGTTATTCACTTTGAGTCTTTGTCTCTTTGACTTCTTATTTGGTTAAGTATTTTTTTTATTTCTTTGTTAGATTTCTTATTTTTTCAAATAGTTCTCAAAGTTAAATATTTTAGTTTTACTTAGCAAAGAAATAAAATAAAAAATGTCAAAAAAAAACCAATCTAGCACGATTTGGCTCATAGCCAAGGCCCGACTTGTGGCCCAGCCCCGCGGCACGGCACAGGCCCGCATAAGCTTAAGCCGTGGGCTGTGTCGGGCTGGCCCCCCAAATTATCCCTAGGAGGGCAGCACGGCCCGCACTTTGCGTGGGCCCGTTTTACACCTCTAGTGGTAACTAGTATTCATGGCTATTCGAAGAAGGCTATACATGAGATCCTTCCCCATTTTCTCAATCTGGTCAAGTATGATGTCTACTCCAGAAATAACGTTCTTTTTTGGGAAGACCTTTGGATGGGAAACCAACCCGTTAAAGGCCTTTTTCCATCTCTTTACTCTCTGTCCCGTTACAAGAAAGAGCCGATTTCCAAGTTTACCTCTTCCTTGGTTTCTCCTTTGGCATTGAATTGGGATTTTAGTTTTCGAAGAGGGTTAAATGATGATAAATGTGCTTGTGTTTTAGAACTATTGTCATCACTCGAGTCCACTTGTTTGGATCCTCCCAATTCTGATTTAAGAATTTGGACCCCTAACCTGAGAGGCCGTTTTACTTGCTCCTCCTTTTTCAAATCCCTTTGCTCTTCTTTTGCACCCTTGGCTTTCCCAGTTAAAGAAGTTTGGATTAGACCCTTTCCCCCAAAGATTGATGTTTTATGTTGGGAAGTCTATTATGGTAAGATTAATACCTTTGAAAACCTGCAAAGGAAGAGACCAAATTGGTGCTTATCCCCGAATTGGTGTGTCCTTTGTAAAGCTCAAAGTGAGGACTGTTACTACTTACTGATCTCTTGTTCCTTTGTTACAGCACTATGGAATTGGATTTTTGGGCTATTAGTGAGTAGGTGGAACCTGCCATATGATATTAGTTTGTTGTTCAGTCTGTCTACTTTTGAGTGGCACACAAAGAGAGGGAGAATTATGTGGAAGGGTAATTTATCAAAAAAAAAATTATGTGGAAGGGTATTAGAGTAGCAATCTTGTGGACTGTCTGGGAAGAAAGAAACACCAGAATTATTTTTCTGAAAAGGAAAGGAGCGTGTCAAAAGTTAAGGACTGTGTTTTGACAAGGGAAATTCAGTGGTTTAAAACATTAAACCTGTTTGATAGTTAATCCTTTGATGACCTGTGGACGAACTGGTTAGCAGTAGCTAATACTACTACCAGGAAAAACAGACTTTTGGTACAATCGAAGCCACCTGGGGAGGAGTTTGTTAAGCTGAATTTTGATGGGAGTAGCAGAGGTAACCCTGGACCCTCAGGTATAGGAGGAGTTCTGAGAAATAAAGACAGTATTATCGTATCCTTATATTCAGGGCCTGTGGGTCTGGGAGACTCTATGAGGGCTGAATTGCTTGCTGCGGTACAAGGTATCCAGCTCGTAAACCAATTAGGGATAGAGAACTTGCTTATTGAAGGGGACTCTCAGGTGGTGGTGGGATGGCTGCTGAATCCGAACTCTGTGATTTGGGGCTATAGAGACCTCCTTAAAAAAGTTAAATGGCTAACAAGAAATATGACAGTTAGAATCCAGGGGGTTTCTCAGGACTCTTTATTTTGGGCTACCTTGTAATCATGTTCATCTGATCTTGTAATGCTGTAATCAATCTTAAAGGAAAGGTCGCATCTCGTGCCTTTCCTTGGGTTGCCTTTAACTCTTATTTACTGGATTAATAAAATATTTATTCATTGATAAAAAAGTACCGAATTGTATTAACAATGAAAGCCAATGAAGCCTGCACGTTGGGAATATAGAAAAAACCTGAGTAATCTCCCAAAGAAAGGTCCATCTTGCAAAAAAGAGATAAGCTGGACACCATGAAAAACTCAGTATACACTAAACCTAGAATATAACAGACCTATAAGGCTGTTCTTAACTGAGTCTAAAGTGGATAGTTTCTTGTTTGAGAGAATGTTGAATTTGAAAGTGAATTGGGATAAAAGTTGTCTTGCAGGATTGAACATGGAGGAATTACAAATGTCTGAATGGGCTGATTTGTTGGGGTGTAAGGTGAATCATCTTCCTTATGAATTATTTAGGCTTGCCCTTGGGGGATAATGCAAACGGCTGTAACTTCCGGAACCCTGTGGTAGAGAAATTAACCAAGAGATTGGCCTCTTGGAAGAAGAGCTATTTATCTTTGGGGGCTAGGATCACCCTCATTAAGTCCACTCTTGCTAATTTGCGGATTTATTTCATGTTTGTCTTCAGAATTCTTGGTGCAGTTAGCAGAAATCTTGAGAAGTTGATGAGGGACTTTCTGTGGGAGCAAGGGGAAGAGAAGAAAGATCATAGAGTTTGTTGGGAAAAAGTCAAAAGAAGTAAGAGGTTTGGGGAATATTTAGGAAAGAAATAGGGATTTGTTGGCCAAGTGGTTGTGGAGATTGCCTATTGAGAATGATAAGCTATGGGTGAAGGTGATTGTCAGTATTCATGGTCTTGCGGCTGATGGCTGGGATGCTGGTGTGCTGGCTAGGGCTGCAAGAGCCTCTCCTTGGAAGTGTATCCATGCTATCTTGCCTTTATTCTTAACCATATCAGGTATAACCCTGGCTCCGATAATTCTGTTAAATTTTGGGAGCATGTTGGTTGGATAATTCCTCCCTTAAAGAGTTATTCCCTTCCATTTATGCAATCTTTAAGCAAAAGGATGAACCTATTACTTCCTTTGTGTCTCCTTCCTTTTCCACCTTCGGTTTGAGTGGGTTTGGCCTTAGAAGAGGCCTTCATAACTGTGAGGTTAGTAGAGCATTGGACTTGGTTCAAAACCTTGAGGGTGTTTATTTAGATCCCTCTTGTAATGATTGTCGGGTCTGGACTCTTTCCCCTTTGGGCACCTTCACTTGTTCCTATTTCTTCCTATCCTTATTGAATCCAGTTGATAATGGGGGCCAACCTTTTCCGGTGAATGAGGTTTGGGGTAAGCATGTTCAACATAAGATTGGGGGCTTCTAGAATTAATACTTGTGAGCTTCTACAAAGGAAAAAAAACCTAATTGTTGCTTGTCCCACTCCCCTCATTGGTGTGTCTTTTGTAAGGCTAATGGGGAGTCCAGTCATCACTTATTAATCTCTTGTCCCTTTACACTATCAATTTGGGAATGGTCTTTTCCCTTGTTTGGGTGGAGGTGGAATCCCCCCACCTAATGTTCAAAGACTGTTTGACCCTACCTTTGTTAGTTGGCAAAATAAGAGGGAAAAAAAACTTAATGGAGATGTTTAAGGGCTGCAGTTTGCTGGACTGTCTAGGAAGAGAGAAATCAAAGGCTGTTTGAAGGCAAAGAAAGAAGTATGGATGCCCTAACTGAACTCATTACAGTTAGGGTGATCCATTGAGTGAAAACTTTAAAGCTTTTAGATGGAATTCCAGTGGTTGATAAGTTGATTTGAGAAGGAAGTGGAGAGAAGTGGCTGATTTTGAGCCTTTAAAGGAGTTAGTTGTGCCTAATTGATTCATCAAAAAAAGTTGTGCCTAATTGGTCTCCCCCTACTAATGGATTCATCAAAAAAAGTTGTGCCTAATTGGTCTCTCCCTACTAATGGATTCATCAAGCTGAATTTTTTATGGTAGCAGTGTAGGAAACCTTGGGCCCTCAAGTATTGGAGGTGTTTTCAGGGATGAGGATGGCGATATTGTGGCTCTTTTCTCTGCTCCCATTGGGGGGACTCATTAAGGGCAGAAATCCTTGATATGTTGGAAGGAGCTAAGAAAGCCAAAGAGCTTAACCTTTCAAAGGTGCTAATTGAAGGGGATTCTAAGCCGGTTATTGGCTGGCTTCAAAAAGAGGAGAGGGGATGGTGGGGTTACATCAATGAAAAAAGGAAATTTAGACATTTGGCACAAGGAATGGATATCAAGCTGAATTGGGTGGAGAGGGATGCCAACTGCATGGCTGATGCTTTAGCTAAGCAAGGAGTGGGAAGAAACACTAATTTCTGGGCTATATTGTAATCCACTTTCTTGCTTCTTTCGGGGGAGTTAAGAGAGTTTATCTCCTCCTTATTTGTGTCTCTGTTTATGATTTATCAATGAACTAATGAATTTCAGTTATTGATAGAGAGAGAGAGAGAGAGAGAGAGAGAGAGAGAGAGACTAAGGCTGTGTTTGGTTTGAAAGAAAAGGAAGGGAAATTAAGTCAATTAAGGAAGAGGCTTCCATTCCTTTTTTCTTTTAAACCAAACACAGCATAAATGATTATATGGACTATCTTGAGAGGCATCATAACCTATTCTAATTAAGCAAGCCTCAGTCACCAAGAACTGTTTGTATTCCTTTCCAAATATGCCAACTACTTGAGACAGTGTGGAAGAAATCTTACAAAAGCTTTAAATGCGGGGCGGTGGGCAGCCATCTCATACATACAGCACCCTGTCAAATCATGACCAAAAGTAAATATACTAAAGCCAAATGCTAATACCATGTTCCAATATATCACAGATATTAATCAAGAGATTCGTACCTAATGACCAGATATCAGATTTGAAGCCGTAAGGGATATCAGCAAGCAGTTCCGGACACATGTAATTAGGAGTCCCAACTACCTGAGCACAACATGGTATAAAACCAATAATCAACTCCCAAGAAATGCTCAAAGTTTATATCCATTTATCTCTCTAAAAGAAGGAGAAATGAAGAAAATGGTTTAACATGAGCAAACAGCAAAGATAGCAGACTAAAAGCATGAAAATTATCACCTATTTCCACAACAGCAGCCTGGAAAACCACTAACAAATTAAAATAGCCAAATGTAGTTACCATACTAATAAAGCTTTGTTCAATATTCTTTGGTCCTTTTTGGTAAGAAAATCTAGTCCTTGGTCTTTATGTATCATGATATGCAACCAAACCAAAGATAGAATTTTTTCCCCCCTTTTTAATAGTTACAAATTCATGGAAACAAATAATGATAACGCTAAGATTCATGCAATAATGAGGCCATACAACCTTCAGACTACCTAGTGCTTAAACAATTATGATGGTTTGTGTTGTATATTGAATTTCAACCTACAGAACAGATTGCTAAATTACTCTAGGGAATGAATCTAAGTGCAAGGACTTTCACTAGCTCACCCATAGCCAAAGAAGAATTAACCTGGAGCATACCAAACCCTCAATAAACGATCTTAAAAAGGATACCAGAAACAGTACAGAAAATTGGAAAATGGAAAGAAAGCAAAATTTGAATTACAAGTACAGAAATGAACATACAGAAGAAGCCAGGTCATCTGCTTTTAGAGTTTTAGCAAGTCCGAAATCCCCTGGTCAAAACCACAAGATTTATGAGCCAAAACCTAATAATCAATCACATTTGGGAAACCACCATTTCTACTTTAAGTCACCAAAATATACTTACCAAGACGAACATCTTGGTCCTTGGTGAGAAAGATGTTAGAACACTGCTAAGTGCCAAAGGCAATGTGCTGAAGATAGTAAGTACATGTGCTTAGAAAAATAAATGAAACTCACTGACCACAACAACATGCACAAACCTTTAGATCTCGATGTAGAACAAAGTTTGAATGCAGATACTCAACAGCCAATAGTAATTGGGTGAACCACTTGCACAGTTTCTGAACAAATTACAGATCATCAAGAAACTATAGGAAACTGAAGCAAGATTAATCAAAGTGTAAATGGGGCAGCTAGGAAAATTTCATACCTCCTCTGGAAATAATGCCCCATTTGCTCTTTTCATCAACTCCGCCCTGTAAAAAGGTAATAAGCAACAGAAATCAGAATATAATTTACGAAGTAAAACTCTCTAAAATTAAGCACCATAGTTTACTCACATGTCTCCACCTTCACAGTATCCAGTGACAATGCAAACATAGCAACCCTGCATTATTGTCTTTATTCAGGAACGAAACAGCAGAAACTACGGAAGTTAAGAAAAACAGGTAAAATAAGAATAACTCCCACTTTCTCCACCCATGCTTCCTTGAATTCAACAATGTAAGGGTGCTGGATTCGTGCAATGAGAGCCATCTGCATTCCAAGTTATCCAGAAATGTGAAAAAGACAGCAAGACTCCCAACAAGATCCAAAACCAGGTAAAAGACCAAGCATATCGGGATCAACTCATATAACTTACCTCTTGATGAGCGGACCTCCTGCAGCGATCCGTCTGTCGTGCAAGCCGGATCTTCTTCAATACATACCTGAAATTCGAAATATCCAAACGAGTCTCAAAACGAAGCGTAAGCTACAAATATTACCAGAATAATAAAGAATCAAAAAGGTTATACAAGAGCAGAATCGCTTACTTTTTCCTCTCCAATTTGTGATTGACCAGAATGGCCGCTCCAAAAGCTCCCCGGCCAATCTGCTCCATGATCTCATAATGATCCATTCGCGATTCCATGACTCTGATTCGTAGGGATCAAAAGAAGACGTCAAACGCCAGATGCAATTCGCTTTCCTCTCGTCCGCAACTCTTTCCAAATCTTTCAATCAACTTCAAAGCATTCTACTACACCATTCTCCACTCAACGCACCAGACAGTAGTCTTCCGCTTCGACAACTCGTACTTGAACCTCACCATTCTCACGAACCAAAAACACTCTTAGTCCTTTGATCTTGCAGAACTCCAATGCAGTTCACCAGCCCTAAATTTCTCCAGTTGGAACAGCAGACAACCAAACACCCCTACCTCCCTCGATCTACCAACCTCAGTATCTCTGAAGCTTCTCCAACAAGCCTCCGTCAATCCCAAAGCTAACTTTCCAATCTTCTCCAACTCCTCTACATTTCTCTAATTCCTTTTCTATCCTCGCTTGGTTACCTCTACAAATGCCATAAGTAACAACAGTTCTTGGCAAATCTCGATAAACAGAAAAGCGATCGAGATCGAATTTATCCGACCAGAAACTCTGAACCACCTTCACCTCCGCAGCTTCTTCAATCTATGTCTTGCTCAGGAAAAGGAAAAAAAGTATTCAAAATTTCTCTTTTGGCTTCTCTCTGCCCTCACTCTCTTTTCCTCTTTTGATCCTCTCTCACTCCTTTTTCTTTTCTCTTTATTTAATTTCTTCTTAATTTATGAGGAAGAGAGAGAAAGAGACCAGAGCTGCGATCACAGTCTATACTTTATAGTTTATAGCTAACCACGGTTAGAGAGAGAAATTGAACATCTGAAGACGCTTCTGTTCTTTCTCCTCAGTCCTCAGAGACTAGAGAAAGAGAGAGGAGAGAGAGAGAGACAAAGAGAGGGGAGAGCGTTAATGGAATTGGATCATGGCCCTGTTTCGTGAAGTGCCGACAGTCCTAGTTGGCTTTCCAACTCATTCCTTTGTTTTAGATTTCTTCCATTTCACTTCTATTGATACCTTACCACATTATCCACTTCATTCCTTGGAGTAAAACAATCCGCACCGTTTGATTGAACCAATAGATTTCTTTAAAGTGGGACATACATTTTCAGCATAACGAGGATTGGAAAAGGCAAGTGAAAGAAACACTGATAGCAAGTTATTCCTGGTGGATAGATTCTATTTTGACAGTTGGATTATGTCAGGCCTACGTAAAAATGGTGAATCGGTTCACGTATATTATGCAACTGTCATTCATCTTGTTAAAAAAAAAGCACGTGCTGAGCGTGACGCGCGCTGTTGTTATTTTGCGCGGTTGCGCTGGGGCTTTTTTGTTTTACTAATAACGTGCTCCATCTCCAACATGTTCCAGGAGCAATGACAATCACAACGAAATCAAATGCTCGCAGAGCAGGGGCCCAGCGGCTTGCTAAAGTGCGCCACGAGGATTTTTTGGGTGGAGTTCTCTCCCCGGTGCATGTTAGGTCTTTACAGCCTTTTAATGGAAATAGGTGCCACATAAAATATTACATCAAAATTTGAAGAATCGGAATACCCTTTTTCTTTCTTATTTGGTTAGTTGATTATGGCGATTTCTGGGAAACCGGCCAAAATCGATTATTGAAATTAACTCTTAAAATGATCTTTCTTATTTTTTATGATGATTTTTTAATTTAATTGATTTTGATTTTTTGAGGACGACATGACATTAAATAATAATTCTAATACAAAAATAATCAGTTTTTAAAAATTAGCACCAAACAAATTTAAAATCCATTTTTCAAAAATCAGCTTATATGGCAAAAATGATAACAAATAATATTTTTTTATAATTTTTTAAAAATCGCTAATTTTAAAAATCATCAATTATTGAATAATCAGTGAAGAAAAATCATCATGGATGGCAAACATCACCTGATAGAATTCGAAATTACGGAGGGACGAGGGTGAAACCTCGTCTCTTTACGAAAGGCCAGCGGCGTTGTAAACTGTTTGACCAGGGCAGACGAGTTAATTATTGAGAGAGAAATAACACTAACATGCGCATGTAGGTGCACTGAACCACCTGCGGTGCGGTATGTCCTTCAGACTTCAGTTCTCCAAATGTTCAAATCCTAGTCGCACAGAGATCAGAACCGTGATGTTGTTTCGTCCACGCCGGCTGGCAAGCAACTAGATAGTAGATATATCTGAAGTCTTACCGGCACATGGCCACAGTGAGTGGGAGACTGTGCGCCACCCGCTTGCGACTCACGTTAGTTTTTTCCGTTGGATGAAGGAAATATTTAAAGAAAAATGTCTAAAATTATTTAAAGGTGGAAATGACAAAAATCACCCCACGGCCCACGTCCTATTTGATCTTTTTTTATTATTTTTTTTGTCTTTTCGTTAAGGTAGTGATTGATTACAAGCATGTAAGCGTAGAGATGCCACGTCTCTATATGAAAAGGATCTAGAGCTATCATTTGATGGGCCAAAGATTGCCTAAAATTGATCGTTGATTGGATTTTGCAATAATACCAAAGCAAAGAAATAAATTGGATATTGCGAAAGAAATATTTTACATAGAAAGAAAAAACAGCTTTACTTTTATTAGACAGTGTAGTAGATCACACTGCTATTGGAACTTCTAGAATGATTTTGATGATCAAACGGTTAATATTTAGTTAATATTGTAATTTCAGGATTTAATGGTGGGTCCCAAGATGGGAGGACGACGCTGCCCTTATTGAAGAGGGAGATGAATGAATGGGACCCAGCAAGTCGTCAGATGTCCAAAAGAACAACAACCAACCCAACTTGAAATGGACCCCACAGAGTAAGTGATCACAGTCACAGGTATAAATTTGGACGGTGGAAAAAAAGTCCTGGAATGCTCAGAAAGTAGTGGATGCATTAAATGGATAAAAGTAATCTGGTGCTTTGTATTTCTTTTTCCCTGAAGACACTTTGATTGCCCGAGTTGTCCCAGGCTGGGACTGGGGGTTTTAATCCTCTGAGTATGTGGAATATGGTAGGATATTCCAGTTTCAGCAACATTCTTTCAAACTGCCTTTCAATTTTGTACAATAGGAGCAGTCATTTGATAATGATCTAAGGCTGACTTGAGACCCAACTCATCTCCACGGTGGGACCCATAAATGGTTGGTCTTGATCTTTTGTTTCTAGAGATCACATCTTGATCTTGTTGTAGGTGGGCCAGGTGGCAAAGTTATGTAGTCCTCGGACTCTTCTGTGCTTCTTGTAGCCCCAAAGCAGAGAAGTTGGAGGGGACAAAGTACTATGGTAATGAGTGGATTAGTATGGTAACCCCACTGGCCTCTAGTGGATTATATACGGTAGCCCCACTGGCCTCTGCTTAGGGCTGTCAATGGGTTGGGCAGACCGGACAGGTCTGAACCAAACCAACTCATAGGGTTTGGATCTGCATTATATGTCCGGGTTATTTTTTCATAATATATTTGTATAATATTGTCATACTATGATATCAGATAGTGTCAAACTGTCAATTTAACAAATAGATTGGTTTGTTTTCAAATTACCAAACTACAGATTGAAAATATAGCTACCAATTATAAATGCGTCTTATGCATCAGAGTTAAGTTTGGTACTGGTTCTGCACATTTACTTTATCAGGTTGGATTTGGGTCTATCTTAACTCACACCAGATCCGATCCATTAGCAGCACTATCTTAATACCTCTACTCTTTATTGGAGTCATGGTTTTTAAAACCGACTCGGTGACTGAATCGATCAGGGGTCCGGTTCTGTTTGAACCAAATACTCAGCCTGTCCTGACAAGAAAATAAAAAATTCAAAAAATAAATAACAGTCAAAACCGTTCGAACAGTTAATCGTCTGGTTCAACGGTTCGCTGATCAAAATCAACGGTTTTAGGGGGAAATTCGGTTTCTAGTTTTTCCGGTCCGATTTTAAAAATCATGATTGGAGTGGATATCTTTAGACTTTATGATAAAAAAAAAGAAAGAACATTTATCCTTTTCTTCTCTTTTCTCAATCTGTTCTTATCAACTATGGTGGCCAAGTTGGTAAATTCTCTCAAGGGTTATAGCGGAGAATTGAATCACATCCTATTCCCACCAGGATGGCTTTAGAGGAGGTTATGAATATGGAAGTTGGGTTAGCACCACTAGGAATGGCAACAGGATGGGTGTCGGGCCATATTTCCCATTCTGACCTTGATCCTCGTTGAGAAAAAATTTAGCGTTCATCCTCCACGATCCTTGATTGAGACGGGGTTCTCTAATCTCTATTAAGGATTTTCTTTCAAAATTTTGTTTTTGAAAAAATATTTATTTAAAAATTAAAATATAAATAATATTATATATAAATGGGGTTGGAGCGGGGAGGAGACTTCACTCCCATCACCGTCACCATCTCCACCCCTGCTAGGTTGGGGAGTCTGGGCACCCAACAGGGATGGAGAAAATTACCATCCCTACCTTTCATCCGTGTAGTTCCATAAAGCCAAAAATAAAGAGATCACATCTCCACCCCATAACGCCCCACAGTACATCCCCGCCCTGTATGTGAACTCAAAAATTAATGGCTTATGTGGCTGAACTCAATCATTCTGTCTTTTAATCGCTAAAAGAGCAGTATAATAAAATATTTAGAATTTAGTAGTAACAAACCCAACATTCTATCCAACTATGAAGTATATGTTTGGCATCAATGCTGCAGATACAATGTCGTTTTTTGAGGAAACGGTGCTGCTGATGTGTGGGTTGGAAGCACTATTTTCTCAAAAAATGGTGTCTTTTTTTGTTTGAAAACGTTGCTGCCAAGTAGGATATTTCTTGGAGCAATAACAATATTTTCCGTTTGGTATCAATGCTCTAGGAAACGTTTTCAGCACTGGTACCTATTATCTAGTGCCACATCATGTCCTTGTCACTGCCACCTCATGTCTCTATCAGCAGCAATGAACTGCAACTCCAGGAAACGCCAAATTCAGCGTTGCTCCAAGCCATACCTTCCAAATTTCCAAAGCATGATTTGAAATACCGTTTTTTATGAAAAAATAGTTCCAAACAAATAGACGTTTCTTAGAACTCCATTTTTTTCCGACGTGGCACTGATATATCGCCATTTTCTGGAACAACGGTATCAATGCCAAACAGACGCTAAGATGTTCACCACCTACTTAAATTCTTGATGACTTATTCAGCAAAAGACTGCAATAAATCATTTAATTCAGCCACTTCAACCGCCAAATGCCTCCTTTAGATGTTTTACTAAATAGGGTAAAACATGAAAATGTAAATACTTGTCTTGGCTTCACGTCTAGAAACCACTATGCAAAAACAATAGTACATCCATTTTCCTCTCTCTTTTGTTTGTTTTTCTCTCCCAACTCTACTCATATGAACCAATATACTAGGATCCATTATTTTGTTGTCATGGTCAAGTTTGCCCTAAGTACTATGAAACCTGATTTGTTGCCACCCTAAAGTCCAACCTCCAAATCACCCAGGCATGTCATAGAAGACCAAAATAATGATAGAAAACTCTGTACATGATTGAACAGGGGATAGTCAAGAATCAAGATGTGATGTGCAAGCTACAAGCTTTCTTGGTCTCAATGGAGGGTAATGCTCTTATTAGGGTTGGGACATAGAGTTGGATTAAGGTCAAGTCAAGTTTGGCTTGGTCCTCATCAGCTCTAAGTTTTGCCCTAAATGAAAGGAAACCTATTTATTGCTATCTCAGGCCACATCATCTAGCATTGTCTATATCTCTTTGATATAAAGAATTAAATTATTTGGGAAGTGGCTTGCAAACTGTAGGGCTATTTGGGGGGGGGGGGTGATTTGGGCACATCCTTAACAAAGGGGCGCAAACCACCTCATCTTCAGTTTTCAAATGATAAATGCTTTAAGAAAAAAATTAAGGGTGTAAGTTAGATACTCGATTTTAAGATTTTACACTGTATC